TGACCAAGATAGAACTTTTTGGCCTTAATTATGAGTGGCATGTGTGGAGAGAACAAGGCACTGCTCTTCACATGTCCAACACGGTCCCCACAGTGAAGCATGGTGGTGGCAGCATCATGCTGTGCGGGTGTTTTTCAGCTGCAGGAACAGGACGACTGGTTGCACTCAATGAAATGATGAATGCGGCCAAGGACAGAGATATCCTGGACCAGAAACCTATCCAGCGTGCTCAGAAACCTCAGACTGGGCCAAAGGTTTACTTTCCAACATGACAATGGCCCAAAGCAAAGGGCTAAAATAACAAAGGAGCGGCTTCACTGCAACTCTGACAGTTCTTGATTGGCGTTACTTAAACCCCTTGAGCATCTCTGGAGAGACCTAAAAATGGTTGTCCACCAACGTTCACCATCTAACCTGACAGAACTGGAGAGGATGGCAGAGGATCCCCAAGTCCAGGTGTAAGAAACTTGTTGCGTCTTTACCGAGAAGGCTTAAGCCCCCTTCAGACAGGCCATGAAAAACGGAAATGTTCGGGACTCAGTCCTTAAGACCTTTGTGTCTGAATACAAACATCCGGATAACCTTTTCCGTAATTAAACCAGACGAAGCCCCTAGTAACAGGACCGGACTTGTCACAGACAGGGTGGCTGCTTCAGATTGGTGAGGTCGAGTTCTGGACAGGGAGGAGCGGACCAGGGGACGCCGTGCGCACCTAGATAGCTCGCTCCTGTAGCATGCGGCGAACCATGGCAGCTCGCCTCCTACGGTACCGTCTAGATGCGCGACGGAGCGCTTCACACCGCTTCTGTGATTCCTTTAACCATTGAGCTTCTATCTCTTCATCTGCCATGTTTGACTGAATGGCTTTGTTTGGGTAAATGACACATGTACGCCCGCCGCACTATGTTTACGCAATATCCGGGTACAGCCTCCCCCCCCCCCCCTCCCCCTCAGACATCTGGAACTTTTCCCTACTGTGTGAAGGCAGCCGAAAGGACAAGTTCAGGTACAAAGTGGTGCGTCTGAAAACACAGTTCTGGTTAAAAACCTAACTGAATTGTCCACACATTTTCCAGATTGTCAATCTGAAAAGGGCTTTAGTTTTTCAGTCAGTATGGGGTGCTGTATGTACATTAATGAGGAAAAAATTAATTTAATTGATTTTAGCAAATGGCTGCAATATAAGTGAGTGAAAAATTGACAGTGGTCTGAATACTTTCCATATGCAATGTATGATAGATATGTGATGTTGGCACTCTAAATTTTATTCATTTTTTTGTCTTTTCTATTCTTTATTATTGTATATCAATATCGATTTATATAGGTATCGGAAATTAAGAGTTAGAAAATATTGGTTTAAAACGCCAGTATTGAGCATCCCTAGTTGAGGTAATGAAGACCAACTACTAAAGTTATACAAGAATAAAATAAATGTTCATACCTCCATTTTAAATGTCTGGAATGCAGGGATCTTAGGGAGTGCTTGGAATCTGTGTAAATTGTTCACTTTAAATGTGACATTTGAATGGCTTTGAAAATGCTTAAATCTGTGAAAGAAACTGGTCCTATAACACAAGAACATTATCTATTAAAACATAGGAAGTTACATGATTGTTTTTGACACGTGATCAGGTAATGTGTGAGTCATCATGGAAAATCTTCAGAAATTTTGGTTTTGGCAAAGATGTAAAAAATCAGCAAAAGTTACCTGGGAAACTGGTAATCTTGGTGTACACTCATTGTTTATAATGCAGCAGGCCTGCATGTGTCACTTGTTCTGCTTTTCAGAAAAATTCCAACAGATGGAGCCATAAAATAAGTCTTCTGAAAAGGGTGTTCTCGGAGAAAAGACCGGTAGACATTTTGTAAATGATGGCTTCTAATTCATAGGTTTTTTCTTCTTCTATTTCAACAGCAAAATAAGTCATCTAAATTTATTGAAAGCTGAATTCAGGACTGAAACATGAATGTATAATGGACAGTGTTTCCCAACCCTGGTCCTCAGGGAACACTGTCCTACATGTTTTCCATGTCTCTGCTTCAGCACATCTGATTTACATTGGCTCCTCAGAAGGACATTAAGTGCTGCAGATGCTTGTTAATCACTCATTCATTTAAATCAGGTATGTGGCAGCAGGGAAACACTGTTTTTTAAAAGGGCAACATGGAAAACATGAAGGACAGTGTGCCCTGACGACCAGGGTTGGGAAACACTGTTTTAGGCCATGCCCTGGATGAGTAGCGCTGGATCAGACCCAGTGAAATAGGAATCTTACAGGCCCTAGGCTGAAAGCAGGATTGAGTTATCTTTTGTTGGTTCAAGCACATTTGTTTTGTTTTTCACTGATTTTAACATTCACCAGACTCTGCCATCACAGTTTTAATCTTAGAAAACCAGAATATTGGAGACATTTAGCCAAAATGTTCAGTTTGTTGGTGTTCCGAAGTTTATTTCTGCATGATGGAGTTTGATCCAGTTCATTCTTTTAACCAACTTTGATTTCTTATTGAAGTTGACAACACTTAAGTCACTACATTTGTAGTGGTTGCTAGTAAGAATGAATGCCTTGTAAGTTGTATTCTGGGGGAAAACAAGCTCAGATGCACTTGTTTGAGGAACTAGAAGTAAATCAGATCAGAGGAGAGTTTCAGACAGCAAACTTTAGAGTCTTATTTACTGATATTTGGATATCTCTCCTCTTGATTTGGATAAGAGGAACGTGACTATCACTGACTCTGTTTTCTTTGCATCATTGATGTTAATCTCTATAAATAACACAAGACTGAAGGTGTTCTGCTGTGTGGTGGAGTTGCTAATGCTAACAATTAGCTTCTACTAGCCGAATTATCTGCCGTTTCCTGGACGCTAAACCAACAACAGCCTTCCCCGTTGTTAGTCAGGATGGGTGAGTCCATGAATGTTAAGTGACAGTGTGACATAGATCTGTCAGGAGTTTCAAATCCTAAAGTTTCACCATCTATTTCCTATCAGAAGCTACTGCAGGAGGTGTAGGAGACTATTTTCATTTTCAGCCTGCATGACAAACTCAGAGCAACTGATTATTATCAGAAGAAGAAAAAAAAACATTTTTAAGCCAGAACCTCACTAGGCTATGTATGACTTTTGGTGAAAAAATGAGAAAAATAATTGTGCTTGTGAGTTTCCTAAATGTTTCAAAACATTCACAAGGGTTCTCTGTTCTCCGCACATAAGTCGTAGAGTGTCACACTAGTGTCACTGTGATGTCACTTTAATTTTGAATGTGTTCAAATTATGAACGAGTCAAATGTTTTCTCAAAACTGTTGCTGGCATCTCAAACCTAAACCAACTTAGTTTCCCAAATCAGAGCATGTAAATGTCAGATAACCTTGTATGGAGATGGTTGACAATTTCTGAATTAAGGTGGTTATAAAATTATGAATAAAGTAGGACTTTTTGTGGCTACATGACAATAAATGTTTTATGAAAGATGCAATTTGTTTGCAACTGCATCATATGCCCAACATAAGCGAATGGTGGGAGATGCATCACAATTATGAATTTCTACCTTTAAATTACTTCACACTGGTGATGCACCAGTATGACATTTTTTGGCCAATATTGAATATTAAGGTCACTGTTATGGCCGATAACCAATATTTGCCAATATCAATATACTGACATTAATGCTTCTAAATTCAGCTGATTTTGTATAGAATAAAAATAATTAAAGCTGAATTGACGTTATTATGCACACACGCCACGCACACACACCTCACACATTTACGCTTTACAATCACTGTGACATGACTATACAAATACACACTACCCCCCTCACCCTCTGAAACAGGCAAACAAATGGTGTCAAATGGAAAAGATATCGGTTGATAATATCGGCCTGTTAATTATTATTATTTTTTTATTTTATTTATTTTCTATCGGACCAATACCGATATTTTAAAAAATTACTAAGATTGGCCGATACCGATATTGATGCCGATATGTTGTCCATCCCTACTTCACACCTTCGGGTACAGAAGTTTTACTGTTCCTAGTTTTAGTTGTTTATTCTGGCACAGTTGTAACTGTGGCATTACCTTTGTTAAAGTGGAACATTTTGGTCGATGCTATTGTGTCTAAAGTACTCTGTAAATAAATCTGAATTGGATTGGAGGTTGCCAAGCATTATGTAGGAAAACTATGATTTCAGTACAAGAAAAAGGCTTTTTCTTCACTAAGAGATCAATTAATGAAGTTTTATTGGAAGTAAAAGCATACTGGGTAGAAATATGCATCCATAATCTTAGAATCACGTCTCAACCCTCTAGATTTAAACAGTTCGTGAAGAGCCTACAGATTTCCATCCCTAACGTGACCCAGCCAGATATTACTTACAAACATGACAAATCTGTGGGATTCCAACTGAATATTGAAATATTTTCTCACAATTTTTGTCTCCCAACATTCACGACCCAGTGAAATACTGCTCTACTCCATCCACACGCCATTTTAAAATACCAACCCAATATTTCTTAGGGTGGAGCAGATCTAGTATGATGTATGAAGTCACCCCGCTCTGTAAGACGCATTCATTAAGTGGATAGAATATATCGGTTGTTTCTGTTCGTGAGGAACCTTGAAGAGACGCCACCTCTGCCACACACACACTTTCGCCCACCCACATACCCACCTACACGGTATTTAGCCAGGTGGTGTTGCAGAGGTTATAAATACTTCTCCTCTGGAAAAGATCTAACCTCACACTCCAAACACACCGTGCTGTGGTGTGTGTGTAACCACAACTGTGACCAGCTGTTACTTGTAGTTTCAGTAAATCTGTTCATTATTTCTTTACGGAATAGGTTCATTTAATAATATTAAAACTGTTGTAACAAATGGCCCCTCCTACTGTGTAGGATGGTGTTTAAATGCGTATATTAACAGATATGTGGATGGTGAGGTGTGCCTGTGCTGAGCTCATGAGTCCATGTCTAAAAGCTTCTCTTCTCTCTGCTGCAGAACTGTGATGAGCGGTTCCAGTACAAGTACCAGCTGCGCTCCCACATGAGCATTCACATCGGACACAAGCAGTTCATGTGTCAGTGGTGTGGCAAAGACTTCAACATGAAACAATATTTTGATGAGCACATGAAAACACACACAGGTGAGAACTAAAGTTGTCTGTCTGCTCCCCACATGAAAAGGTCCGATGTACAAGTATCCAGAGCACAAAGTTTTGTACAAGCCTTCACAGAAGGATACCAAAGTACATTGCCCAGCCCCCCCAAATAAAGACGCCACCATAAAATAGGTCACACCATCTAAAACTTTGTTCGACCACCTTTAGCTTTGATTACAACAAACATTCGCTGTGACATTGTTTCGATAAGATTCTGCAATGTCACAAGATTTCTTTCCATGTGTATAGTAGCTGTTTCTCTATTTTTTTTTCACGTTATATGATTATTTTATCATGATTATATTCTTACGTCCTACATTTACCTATCTCTTATTTTTCTTTCTTTTTGCGCCCATTACCGCAGCTATTTCCTACTGTTGTGATTTTGCGCACATATGGCAATAAAACCCTTCTGATTCTGATTTCATCCAGCATTGCATTAATTTTTCACCAATATCTCGTATTGTTGATGATGGTCTAAATCAGGGGTGTCAAACTCACTTTAACTCACGGGCCACATTGAGGGAAATCTAGTCCCAAGTGGGCCGGACCGGTAAATTAAAAACAACTTCAGATTGTTTTCTTTGTTTTAATACAATCAATATAAAACAAGGCTGGAGCCTGAGGACAGTGTATCCAAAATTGTACAACACCTAAAGTGTAATTGAAAATTTGAAAGAAAAAAAAATCAATAAATAAAAAAAACATTCCTTAGCGATTCAAAGAACTTACAGATCACATGGCTAGATCAGTTTCATGTAGCACTTAAAATATATTTGACTCACTTTACATCGTTTAGCTTTCACCGGCACATCAGTATCAGAAGTCACATCCTGAGTGGCGGCCAACTTCAGGATGTGATTCAAGTTCTTGTGTGAGCCTTGAGCGCAGCTTTGTTTTATTTATACTCATTACAGAGAAAACTTGCTCACAAAGATAAGTTTATTTTCACTCTACATTGTAAAGTATGAAAATAAAGTTTACACAACCATCTCGCGGGTCGGATTTAACCTGCTTGCAGGCCGGATCCGGCCCACGGGCCGCATATTTGACACCCCTGGTCTAAATGCTGTACAAATCCTTCTCCAGCACATCCCAAAGATTCCCAATGGGGCAAAGGTCTGGATATCTCATGCTTCCTGAACCACCCTTTCACACTTAGAGCCTGATAAATCCTGGCTTTGTCATCTTGGAATGCGTGTCATCAGGGAAGAAAACATCCATTGATGGAATAACCTGGTCATTCAGTATATTCAGGTAGTCAGCTGACCTCATTCTTGGAGCACATCCTGTTGCTGAACCTAGACCTGGTCAACTGCAGCAACCCCAGATCATAGCACTGCCCCCACAGGCTCATACAGTAGGCACTACAGTAGGCATGATGGGTGCATCATTTCATCTGCCTCTCATCTTACTCTGATGCACCATCACTCAGGAACAGAGTTTTTAATAATGCGTTCAACAGTTCTTAACCCAATCTTAGTGGTTTCTGCTATCTCAGATGTTTTCTCTTCTCTGCTTGTTGCATGCCAATGATCCTTCTCAAACAGACTAACATCTTTTCTATGACCATAAAATATGCCTTTCCACATGGTTGCAACTCAATGCACCAGTTGGGGTTAAATAACTTGTTGCCAGCTGAAAGATAATTTTTCATGCAGTAAATATCCAATGGGAGGCTTCTGCCTGTTTGCTTAGTTAAAACCAGGTGGCAACTTTTGGTCAGGCAGTGTATATGTTACAGCAAAAGTAGTTTTGTGATTCTTTAGGGTGGCTGGAACTGGAGCTTTAGGTTTTGTAAGAATGTATGGGCTTTATTCTTGTGGGGGAAATGGTGTCCATCAGCTTGTAGTTAATGTCCACAGATCTGGTTGCAAGATATAAGTATGAATATACTGTGTTCTATAAATAAACATGTCAGCTTGGTAGGTCCTAGTGTGGGGAAATTATTTCATGTTGGCCCAAAAAATACCAGAGATTGTGCAATCTGTTTTTTTACTGTTGATCACTGATCCAAATCACATGGCTTGACCATCTTTTTTTTCTATGTAAGTGCTACTGGCTACATGAACAGGTAAAAAAGGAACAACATTGACTTAATTTAGACAAAAACATGTTTTATTATTTTTATTTTTTTCAAGAGAAAAAAAAACTTGCAGCACAATCAGTGTGTTTGTTTTCTGACCACAACTTCTAAAGCGGGGAGTACACTACAACTTTTTCCACTCGTAATTTTCTCAAACTGTACAACTTCTTGCAGAACAAAGGTCACGAGTTAAGATCTCACACTTTACTACTCAGTGAGGTATGACTACTCACAGTGTATGTATGGTAGCAGCTAGGGATGCGTATTGGTGAAATTCTGGCAATACAATGTGTATCACAATACAGGGGAGACTAAATGATATATCACAGTATATTGCAATACTTGCAGCCAGATGATATTCACAATTCTTTAGACTGAATTTATTGTAGGAAAATTCAATAAACGGTCCAAACTGATCTGTAACATGTTTAACATGAGGTATCTGAACCATAATCGAGGGCTTTACATTTCAATGCTGGAAACAAAACCTCCTTGCACACTGCTGCATGCGAGCGGTGTTTGAATTGCACCAAAAGAATAGAAAATTCACAAATGTTTTCATACACATACTAATAACATAATATCTAAGTACATAATATCACAGGAAAAAAATCATGATATATTGCCATATCGATATTTTCCTACATCCCTACTAGCAGCATGACAGATCTAAAAATAGTTTTTACAAAACACGTCGGACTTTCGAGTCCGAAAACCCAGAGGTCCTGGGATTGTTGTTTTTGTTCATGTCTGTTGTTCTTCAGGCTTGCCGTAGTTGTAGGAGGGGTTTATAGTGGTTGGAGAAGAAGGAATAAAAAGAGGCAGTAAATCGATGTCTTCAGATCTGTTTTATTTGACGTAGTCACTGCAAATGCTCTTTCTTGACAATCCTTGTAATTGTGTGCAGAGAAAAGTGTAAAATTAAAAAGACGTGTGTGGCACGGAAATACCTGGGCAGCCGAGTTAATGCCGTGTGAGTATTTCGGGTACTTTTTGGGTTGCAGCTTTGCTTCAACAGTGCGATACATTCACAAGAGAGGAGAAAAATACCAATCATGTTTGATATTTGTATGACTGCACGGTTGCAGATTGGGAGCTGGTCATGAGGTGTTGATCACTTCTCGTTATCCCAGAGGTGTCAAACTCATTTTAACTCAGGGGCCACATTGAGGGAAATCTAGTCCCACGTGGGCCGGACCGGTAAATTAAAAACAAATTCAGATTGTTTTCTTTGTTTTAATACAATCAATATCAAACAAAGCTGGAGCCTGAGGACAGCATATCCAAAATAGTACAACACCTGAAGTGTACTTGAAAATTTGAAAAAAATCACAAAATCAATAAATAATAAAAACATTCCTTAGTGATTCAGAGCTTACAGATCACATGGCTAGATCAGTTTCATGCAGCACTTAAAGTATATTTGACTCATTTTACTTTACATCTTTTAGCTTTCACCAGCACATCAATATCAGAAGTCACATCCTGAGTGGCGGCCAACTTCAGGATGTGATTCAAGTTCTTGTGTGGGCCTTGAGCGCAGCTTTGTTTTATTTATACTCATTACAGAGAAAACTTGCTCGCAATGATACGTTTATTTTCACTCTACATTGTAAAGTATGAAAATAAAGTTTACACAACCATCTCGCGGGCTGGATTTAACCTGCTTGCGGGCCGTATCCGGCCCGCGGGCCGCATATTTGACACCCCTGCGTTATCCCCTGTATACTACACGATGCAAACCACGCCCTGACCTCAAAGATTCTCATGCTAAAGGAAAATCAGACAGTGTACGCAGAGTGTACACTGTCCGAGTAGAGTTGAAGAAGCTTCTTGGTCAAAGTGTTGATCAGAATTTGATGATGTATATCTTTTGCAGAAATCAGCCACAAATGATCGCGGGGCAATCCATCATAACATTCCTTAACTATAAACCAATAGTCTGTCAATTAACTAGTCAAAATGAGGAGTTTATTGCATAACAGTTTTCCATACAGCAGCATATTGCTGTGCCATTGCTGTGGGTCATTATAAAACACTCAGCTAGTTTAAAACGGACCCTAAATAGAACTTGTAGAGCTTGATGTTTGAATCAAAAACAAATGGAGTCACAACCTTGAACATTTGTTATGAGATGACTCAGATGAGTCTTTAAAAGCAACAGGAAATATGTAAATGCATCACATGCCACCACTTTTCTCACCAGTTTTAAGCAAGAGTCGAAGAGTCTAAATCAACTCCACTGAGGGCTAAACACTTCATTCATGACACTAGAATGATTATGTACTTTAATGAAACAACAAACACTGGCAGATCTGATTATATACCCAACAAACCCTGTGGGATGCAGGCTCAGGGGTCTGGACTCCGCAGCGAAGGCCTTTGAATTAGTCCTGACTCGTTTCTGTCTGATCCTCCATAGTTTTTTCTCTTTCCGGTTACTTCTTTGGGATGGTTTTCTTTCCTCTGCCTTGTGCAGAGGGGACTCGTTCAAAGCTGAAATCATTTGCAACAGGCTGTTCTGTTCTTGGATTCAATCCTGCTTCTCTCCTTCAAGATTTTCTTCCAGCCTCCAGATTATTCTTTAGTTTTTTTCAGTCAGCACACAGGCCTTTTCATGCTCCCATATGTTATCTTTTTAACTGATTTTCTGTTCGCTCCAGAGTGAGTTAAGGTTTGGAAATGTCTTCGACTTTTGTGCCCAGGGGGAGTTCTGCTGATTTTGTTCTTGTTCTCTCAGCAGTCAGAGTTGCTTTTAGCTGTGTCTCTTTGTCTGTGTCCCAGAATAGCGGTTTATTTTCTTGTTCACCTATCTGACATTGACGTACATTTGTATTTTTCTCAATCTGAACAGTTTGGCCTTCAAGCTGCTTTTTGGTTCACATGAATTTCCCACATT